AGACTTTCGAGACTCGAGACTTTCGAGACTTTCGAGACTCGAGACTTTCGAGACTCGAGACTTTCGAGACTCGAGACTTTCGAGACTTTCGAGACTTTCGAGACTTTCGAGACTCGAGACTACAGTATCGAGGCTTCTCGATACTTCTCGTCTCGGTGCATGCCTAATCGAGGGTGAGTTTCTATAATTTCCACGATTGTTGCCTCTGAGATGAGCAAATCACAGACAAGGCAGGTGCACTATAGAGGCACCTGCATAGACACCGTAGGTCTATAGTCATGAAAAAGATACTCATAAGCGCCAAAGATGGAAGAGATCAGTGTACGAGATTGCGTTCGAGGAAAAGCGATTTAAGGAACAGTTTAACTCGTAGAAATTCCTTATTAATCCAGATTTTTGGAATTTATTTATGGAAACTCAAGGACGATATTCTAGATTGTTATAAATTTGATTTTTTACAAACTGGAAAATTTTCCTGGAATTCCTATAGGCACTCTTTGAATTTTACCTAGCTTTTTCCATAAATAATTTCCAACCTTACAGTGTACCCACATTTAAAACATCCTGTTAATTAGTTGTATTTATACTGCGTCTGTGTCCATCATTTTCTGTCTTCTACCTTTTGTATCTGAATTTTCTTTTTCTTTGTTGACATTCGGACATTTTGCGTTAGACAGAGCAGGATTCAATAGGGCTACATTATACTCCTTTTGACTAGCTATTTAGCTATTTTCCATGCCCTTCCATTTTTGGTAAGTAAAATTAAATTTTAAGTTCGGATCATAAAAGAACTCATATTTAATTCTTTATCTTCGGAAGAACTGATTTGTATTCTTCAGTGTGTTCTTTGGTAAGCCGAAGAACGCATATTTTTAACAGTGTACCATTGAATTTGTCTTTTGTTGGAAGGTATAGCCATGTGATGCACGTTATACTGCTTCCCGATATATTGATTATTACTTTAAGACTAAAATGCTATAATAATATAGTATTTCATATTTTCACTTCAATCGCATCGAAATTCGTGTGCTAGTGGCCACACTAGTGGATACGGTTTGTCGAGATCTATCGAACAATTTACAATAATTATTTTGTGAAGATCATTTTTCAACAGAATGACGTTTTACTTGTGATAAATTCTTATAAAATTGAAATTCCGACAGTGGACGCTCTCTTTGAAGTAGAATATGTGCGAAAAATCAAATATCACAATTAACAAAGGCAAATAAATATTATACAAAATTCGTTTTTAACTTTGTTCATGTACATCTGCTTCACCTAAATATTGTAATTGTTTAACATGTATATGCCTAATTGGTTTATAATGCGTTTTGTGATATTCTAATGTGTATTCGTCTAAAAACGGACCTTTGGTTAATTGTTCGGAAGATGCCACTTTGAAATAGGCATTTGCTTCAAATATGGTATTACTGTCATCATCTTCGTTGTTATTATTCACTTGTTTCACGTTAACTGTTTTTCGAGTATAATATCCTTTGTTAACACCTTCATATTCATCCAATCCACATAATGTCATCTGATCAACGGTCCATATTTCGCCTTTAACACATTTCATAGATGAATAATGATCGAGTAGCAAATAAGGAACACCACATTCTCCAATCACTAATGGGATGGGCGTAGTAGTAACTGCTTTGCTGATAAATTTAGCTTGACTCAAAAATTTTTTATTCCAATGAAAGCCTCGTTTAAGCGTACCGTAAACAAATAATAATAAATGATTTGGTCTTCGATAAGTTTCAGTTATTAATTGAAATATCCAACTGAATAGACTCGATTTTTGTTCAAATTTGTCATACAATTCCCAATATTTTGGTAAATGTTTACACCATCGTTCATACCAATTCACTTCTATGATATCTTGAATGTTAGCATGTAATTTTGAATATAAACGAAATTCAAATGGACGATTTCTAAGAACGTCATTATCTGTGATCCAAGAGAATAATGCTGAACCTGTGCATACACGAAATGGGCTAAGTTCAATAACCAACATTCGATCTGTTTTAGCTAAATAAACAAAATCGATCACATAAGCTTGTTCACCAATAAGCGAATGAACTTGGTGCCATAGATCGACTATTTTCTCTTTTATCTGCTCTTTTATTTTAAACAAATTTGGATAAATTGTGTAATGATCATATTGAGAAATAGCATTTAATTGATGATTATTAATGTACGCTCGAAATTCGTATTCAAGCGACATTTCATTCTCAAATCGTCGTAAAACAATTTGTTCTGGTTCACCCCATTCAATCCAGTCGTTTAAATCCGTATAGACGCGTTCACTACTTAATAATAAACTCATTGCTTCTGAACCATTTCGAACACATAAATAAGAAACGCGAGAAATTGCTCTCAGTTTTGTATTAGGATCTGTTTCTACGGCACTGTCATTATCAATTAGATTCTGCAATTCTTTTTCATATTTTTCGATAACATTTTTATGATTTAACGGTTCGCCATCCTTTGGGCTACGACCACATAAGCGTAAAAATGCACCAGTTTCAGCGAGTAGTGGTTGCTTCAATTCATGATCAATTTTATGTTCGAGTTGTCTAAGAGTTGTAATATCATCATTTGTAAGGTGAATACGACTCAAATATCGAGTTTCTTGATAATGTAAAATTGCCATGGCTTCAAGACGCGTTAACGGAAGAAAAACAGAAGGAAATGTGAATTGTTCAACGAGAGGATACCAAACATCGATATCAAATGGAAGATTTTCAGAACGCAGTTTATGTTCAGAATTAATTTGAAGAATTGATGTTTGATTCATTTTTATCGTCTAAGAAATAGGATCAACTAAATTAACTTAAGAAAATCCACCTTTATCACATATACTAGACATGCGAACGATCAGATTTTGTTTGATTTGTATATCTACAGAACTCATTCTTTATAGAAAACGCTCGAAGGACGATGGAAAAACAAAACACAAATTTATAACACGCATTTTTTTTTTAAAATAGAAGACACTGAACACTTTAACCTAGTAATCTTTTTGCTTACGTGGCAAGCGTTATTTTCTAGCTGTATGGGATTGAGCAGTAGGAGTAGAACACACTATAGCAGTGCATAAGATGAGGAATCGAACAGCTCAAGTTTACTTTTGGATAATTTACTCCAAAAGTAAAATTGATGCTTTAGAATCTATAGTTTCAGTATTCGATTGTAACAACTGTGTAGGGTTGTTTTGTGCTTTACTTTTCTTCTGTTCTATCCTAGTGTCTCTCTCAATAATAATGACATGATTCATTTGCATGGTTACAAATGATTGTGTAATTACTCTCTTCTTCGTCATTATTTTGTTTCGTCTTACTTTTATCCTATTCTATCTTCGTGTTTTATTAATATTAAGAAGATAAAGACATTTCAGAAATACTTTGAACCGATTCGATTTTAGGTATTTTGAGAATACGTACAATTTTTGCGTTGAATGTCAAAGATGAGTGAACGAACAAACGAGAGAGTTCTATCAATCAGAATTCTGTCACTCAGCTGCTGAAGTATCCCGTACACACGTGCCAACTACGTACTCGCTTTCTAATAGTCCAGAGAACCTATGGTGTATGCTAGGCAGTAAATATACTGTTGGACGGGCAACGCAGACATGAATAATCGTCTCTTGATTATTATACGACTTGCAATAATGACGGTTATATATAATGGGTGTGTCATAATGAATGAGCCTCTCAGTATTTTTCTCGTGTTCCTTTAGAATCATAAGATTACTGGTTTTTTAAAAAGATGCGCTGAGAAATACTTTACAAAACCATACCTAAACTTTAATTTTAGAACTTCAATGAAGAAAACTACGTAAATTATACGAAAAGCGAAAAAAATAAAAACTTTGTAAACTCAAAAATGATTTCCTGCGTTAACTTTTTGAAAGAAGAAAACCTCAATTAGCCGTTATGTAGCCCTGTCTATCTTTTAACTACATTTCACATTTTTTCAAAATCAAAACCTATGGAGAAATAATCATTTTTCTGTCGGTTGTCACACACGCATTTTTTCATTAATTTCTTAAATTCTGCACGTGGTGATGTTTTCAGTAAAAGTCTCATAACTTTATCAAAAATAAAGGATTCTTCGATCGGATTTGTTTTGTTTTGATCAGAAATGATAGCTCTTCTCTACCTAACTACAAAATCCAAACTTGATCATGTTTTTTTTGCAGCAGACCACGAGAAAGAGCACATTCAAAAGTACTGAGCTCTCACTTTACTACACCTTTTTACGGAAATAATAGCAGAAGAAATAAGGTTCAAGTCGAAAAAAATATAAAGTTTACAAAATTTTCATTTTTTTCGTCTTTCGTATAATTTACGTAATTTTCTTTATTGAAGTTCTGAAATTAAAGTTTAGGTATGGTTTTGTAAAGTATTTCGCGGTGCATCTTTTTAAAAAACCAGTAATCTTATGATTCTGAAGGAACACGAGAAAAATAGAAAATACTGAGAGGCTCATTCATTATGACGCACATGATATTATTGCTGAACACTAAAATAAACGATCTAATTTTTTGATTCTATTTAATACCTGATAAAAGTGTAATAATATTCCACATACAGGATGTTTTATCGCATGCCAATTGATCATCGAAACATATATGCAATTTAATATAAAGGAAGATTTGTAGTCGTTTTGTTTGACTAGACGATGCTGCTAGTTTAACATGATATGTAATGAATATCACTGCAGTAAACAAATGAATTACATTGACATTGAGCGAGCGTTAAATATAAAAAACAAAAAAACTTGATAGAAATATATTTAAAAGATTAAATTTTCTATCGTCAATAAGTTAACATTACTCTGATATACAAATTTCTCTATACTTTTGTCAGAGCGATACCGGACCTCATTAAAATGTATGTTCAGATTCAGAGCTGGAATCAGTGGAGTTGATGAAATATGATCAGTTTAGTGAGCTCTAATTTTAGTAACAGAACCAGAGTTGAATTTTGTAAAAGTGGTCATTTCAGAAATTACAGAGTTAATGGATGCCATATTTTTAAGATATGAATTAACTAAGAAAATCATACCAGATAATATCATCTATTCGTTTCGCTTTCGCAAAGGTTTTGAGAAAAGCGGCACCGATCAAATTTGCTTAAAATTCTTACTTTTATGTCTTGTTCTAACTAGTAGTTCATTCAACGCTCAACTTCAACATTTAGTGTGATTCTGAATTTCTAGCACCAAACCATGCGTGGAGGTGTTAAATGGGCTGGTACATGAGAGTGAACCATTCCATAGCATTCCACTACTCGTATCAACATCTTAGCAAAGAAAAATTAACAGAACGAAAAAAACATCGTTATCTCTTGTATATTACACTTTTGTAATTTTATTTTTAAAATCTATATTTAAATGAAGTTTAAAAAACCTTCGTATTTTTCACAGTTGCTAAGAATATTGAAATATAAAATTTTTTATTGTTATTTCATGTTTAAAGTTAAATAGTCTTTCATCCACTATCTCATCCAGTACTGTATGAATGCACCATTTTAACAATTCATTTTGACAACTTGTCAATTCGATTAGTTCATCGGGTTTCTATAATTTCGTTTTTTCAGTGTAAATTCAACTTTTTAGACCGTATTCATTCTTCAATTAGTGGTTTACTTATTGACTAAAATAAAATAAATAATACACATCAATATCGATTATATCATTAAGATTTAGAATTATTTCATAATTATTTATAAATATTTTGGTCATCATGAGAAATACATCAACATTTTCAAATAGATCAGTTAGTAGCGTATCAATTTTTGTCTTTAAATTATTGAAAAATGTTTTCATTAGTTGTGACGATTAGATGAGAAGTTAATAATTTTTTTTTGGAAATTTTTTTTTGAAAAAATTGATCTATTTTTATTTTTACATATACACCAATAAGCTTACAAAACAAAAGAACTAGAAAACATCACATCACATAAAACGGTAAGAATAGTTAATACAAAAAAAGCAAAAATGCAGTTAATATTGTCACATTTAAGCATTTTTTATCTCAACTACTCCCGATGCGTCATGGCCATTGACAACAACAGCAGACTGATTCACATTTTCTTGTTCATCTTCGCCATCTTTTCCAGATTGATTATAAATTTCAGCTAATGTCATCGGTTCGTTAATTTCACTGTTAAAACCTAATTTATCTGATAATATTTTGGCACTTTCAACATCTAATTTATTAAATTCATAATTTGCAATTAGACGACCTTTTCTCAATAAAGCAGGATCAATTGTTTTTAAATCACAATTGAATGTGGCAATAATTTGTTGATGCATAGCGTCACCCAGTAGACCATCGGATAAATTCAACAAATTTGCCACAGCTTGATTCGGTATCAACATTTCTTGACGATCTTTAATTATATTTTCAGCATCTAAACAAGACAAAAGAGAAGAATAAAGAATTAAAATTTTTCAATATTTTCTACAAAATAAATTTGACTTTTATATTTTTAATCTAAGAATTTCAATTTTTATTTATTTTTACCTTCAATAATTAAAATTGAATCTTGATAAGACATCAAAAATGGTAAAAATTCAGGAGATGATATTTCTTTTGCCATATCTGGTGGTACATAGATCAACATTTTATCTTCTACTTCATGAATAACATAACGGATATAATGAGTTTTACCTAAAATACAAAAAATTTATGTGAAAACATTCTATTTTTAGAATAAATCTATAGATGAGAATACTTACCACTGCCAGGTATACCATGTAAAAGTACAATTCCTTTTCCTTCTTTTTTATTTAAATTTTTAATTATTTTCTCATGTATGGGAATAAATTTTTTTCCATAATGAAGTGCAAGATCAGTAATTAATGGTTTTTTAATATTAATACCATTTAAATAGTAGCCATGTTGATTACGACAAACCATTTGAAGTATACATGATTTTGATGAAAAGACAGTCATTTGAGATAGTTCTTTTGCTACTTTTTGTACAAATTCATCATGATGTGGTAAATAATAGAGTACAATTTGACTTGAAATTAAGAAATGATCATCACTATAGTCAGGTGTGTATTTATTTGGATTTTCAACATCTGTATTGAAAAATGAATCAGTTATTTCAATCATAACACCTAATTTAAATAAAGAAAACAAATAAAATTTATTAAAATATAAAAACGACATGTATTATTTCTTTCTCCGATAAGATTTGTCGAAAAAAGACATAATAAATTATTCTTACCTTGTGTTTGTTCTAAATCACATAATCGTTCATTAACATACAACATTTTTGATCGTCGATGAAATGAACGTGTAATTAAATCATTTGATATATCATGTTTTAATTCATCACGAATATAATTTACTGCTGTTGTTGTATGAATATTTGAACTTGTATCACTTGCTGTCACTGTTAATGAATTTGGATAAAAATGATATTTTGCTAAAAATAATCGAATTGTGGGTAATCCACCACAGTTACTAGCCGGTCCCAAATTAATAATGGCTTCCATCGGTAAACCGACACAGTTTCCAACACAATTCGATTGTTGATGCATCGCAGATTTTGGTTGTTTAGAATTAGAATCAATAGTTGTAGACATTTTTTTAGTATGACAAAAAATAACTTGAAAATATGAACTAAAATGTTAGTATAAATACTTATATAAAGATTTAGTTTTCGAATGATTGTGAAATATTGTTTTTCTTTGCATTAATGATTGTTGCCGAGTTGTGCAACTTTTTTCTTTCCTTTCTTTAACTTTGTGAGTCATATTACATGTGACTGATTCATAACATATCTACATATTAATATGTAGATATGTTATTTCTACAGGTAAAATTTCTATTTGTCTTATGAGTCTGCCTTGAAACAAATCCGTCGGAGTGAAAGGACAAAAGATACCGTATGTACGATTCCTGTGGGATGCTAAGGCAACAGAATTTGTTTTCCAAATAATAAGTCATATTTTGACGTGAATTGAGTTGTGAGAATCGAGATACATCGAAATATATACTTTGGATGATATTTGATCACATTCGAGCTTATTAAAGATTGAAAAAAGATGAAACATCGACTTCTTCAATGTTTATTAGAAACTATAAATTTGAAAACGATTTTGTACGATAAATTCAAACTAACCTCATGAACGATTACAGCACGTCAGAATATACTAGAAAATATATCGAATAAATAAAAGCAGAACTCATTTCTGTCGAGTTAAAAGAGCTAGAACAAAGTCATGACTAACAAGTCACTAACTTGAAATAGGCACCAAACGGACGCCAAACTAGTGAAATTCTTTGTGAACCAAATCTACCGTTGTAGCAGCATGTAGATCAGCCATGAGTGGCATTAAGCAAGAAAAGAGGGTTTAATATCAATTTACTGTGGTCTGATATCAGTTCTGAAGCGCTTGCAATGATCAAAATCCTTGAATAACATGCTTTTGAACATATTAGAGCAATAAAATGTGGTGGGCCGATTTTAAGTCTTAGGTAAACTGATCCTTCTGTACATAGTTATCATACAGAAGATAGGGCACTACACGACTCGTTTCATCCTTAACTAAACATTTCATTAGTTAACATTTGTATTCAATCTTTTCAGTCCATGCACTTAACGTTTATGTTCTAACATTATTTTTTAGTACATAATCTAATTTACGTTTGTGTTGACTTAAAAATATTGATAATTAACAGTTTCCGTTAGAAAGGTACAAAATAATGAAACAGCATCAAAAATTGATTCATCTCTATACTTTCCATGGTTCAATCTGTTTTATATATGTAAAACAAATTGGACATTGAAAATACATATTGTTAAGTAGACAACTTTGAATACAATAATAGCAAAATACATGTTTACATTCAATACTTTCATATGGCATAAACGGCCATTGTTCACATATCGAACAACATTGCTTATTGTTGATTACATTTGTCTTGTAAAAATACTTGCGAAAAAATATTTTAAATTTTGTTGATGTGACAAACGGTATGATTGTGGTCAATGTTTCGTTGAGTGTATGCCAGATTAATTCAGTTTTCATATATGAATAATCCAAGACACGCAATGACGGTGGCGTTAATGTACTATGATATGTTTTCAATTTTAATAATCTAAATCAAACAGAAAATAAGTTTGCAAAAAAAAAATATATATGATGATAAAACAGTAACCTAGTAGATCAGTAACGAGTGAAGTTGTTTTGGTAGTACTGCATTCATGTATTCAAAAATACCTGATAGTTTTCGTTGACTTTACAGAAGAAAAAAGAGTCCGCTCCCACACCTTTCAAACCATTTCGTCGCCCCTGTATCCACCTGGGAAAAAAATAGTTTCAGTCGTATTTTGAATTTATTATGAATATGAAAATACATTTTAGAAAAATAATTTATATATTGTGGTAGCGCTTGAAATTCTCTATTAGTCTCTGCTTTTCCAACTTGGATTCGAAATTATTTGGTAGCAAAAATTTTGAATAATTTGAATGCCTATCCTATTCCCAGGAATTGGATGCGGCTCCTCAGTACTTTCTGTTTCTCTCGTTTGTTTAGGACCCAAAGGTTAATGTTTTTTTTTAAAAAGGTACGCCGCGAAATACTGTACAAAACCATACTTAAACTTTAGAGCTTCAATGAAGAAAACTATGCAGATTATACGAAAGACGAAACAAAGGAAAACTTTGTAAAAGCAAAAATGATTTCATGTGTTCACATTTTGAAAGTAAGAACATCTGAATTAGCCATTTTGTAGTCCCCACTTTGCTCTATCTTTTAGCTACATTTCACATCAAAACCCATAGAGAAATAATGATTTTTCTATCTGTTGTTAAGCAATTTTTTATTAATTTTTTTATTTCTATATATAGTGGTGCTTTTAATAAAAGTCTCATAACTCTATCAAATAAAAAATTTTCGATTAGATTTGTTTTATTCTGATCAGAAATGATTATTCCTCTCTACGTAACTGCAAAATTAAAACTTCGTTAATGTTTTCAGTTTCTTGCTTCGACACATTGTTGAAAACGGGGAGGATGTCAAGTTTTGAAATCTCGTTCTTGACCACATCAACTGTTTTAAAAGACTTTTTATCGACCACGAGAAAGAGCACATTCAAAAGTACAAAAAAATTTGTCACTTTTGCAACCCTTTTTTATAGAAATAATAGCAGAAGAAAAAAATACCAGATTTTCAAAGTTTTCATTTTTTTCGTCTTTCCTATGCGTAGTTTTCTTGATGGAAGTTCGAAAGTTTAGGTATAGTTTTGTAGAGTATTTCGCGGTGCATCTTTTTAAAAAAACATTAATCTTTGAGTCCTAAACAAAGACGAGAGAAATAGAAAGTATTAAGAGATCGCACTCAATTCCTGAGAATTGGGTACAAAATATTCAAAATTTTTGTTAGCAAAAATAATTTCGAACCCAGGTTAGAAAAGTAGAGACTAATAGAGAATTTCAAACCCTATCACAATATATAAACTACTTTTCTAAAATGTATTTGTATATTCATAATAAATCCAAAAACAAGACTGAAACTATTTTTTTCCAGACGTATATATACAGTCAACAAATAATCTTAATTACCTTTCGATGAGATGTAAATAGTTTCCTGAATGTAAAAATATTAAAAAATTAATTAAAGATATCAATTTGTATAAAAATTGAAATGAATTTAATCGTCGACGATCAATAATAAATTTTTGATAAATATATTCATAGAATAATGATAAAATATAAAAACATTTTTGTTTATTATTGATCTGTGATTTATCATAATCATTCAAATATTCAATATTAAGTATTTCTTGACCGATAGTCACATTTTTCATTAGAAGAGTATTCACAGATGTAAACAAATTTAATAAGAGTTTAAATTCATTTTTATACATTTGTAGCGTATGTGAATGATAATAACGAAATATTGATGAAAATGAATCAAAATTATATTCAGAAAAGTCATTGTTCAAGTAATCAGCATCGATCTGTGGTGTTCGTAATGATGGATAACGGCGAATTTCAGTTGATGATGAAGACGACATCTGAATAGAAAAAAATGAGAAAGAAAAAGTTATTTTAAAAGTAAATTGATTGTACACTCTGCATGCGTGATCGACATTTATCACACAGCAAAATTTTTTTATTTCATTGTGACGATTTGCTCCTACTGTTTATATTTGACGTACTTAGTCGACTAAATTTAATTTCACATTCTGTATGCAAAATAAACTCAGAAAAACAAGGTAAAAAAAAGGTTTTGAATAAAATCAAAAGTGTATTATCTGTATGTGAGCTCTTTCGGTATTTTTTAAATTTTATTTAATCAAAATAAATTTAGATTAGTAAAAACCAGAACGTTGATTTTTATCTTGACTTTTATTTCATTTTAATTTTACTAATCAATATTTGTTTACTTGGTATTCAGAAAACAATGTATATCGATCTACAGGTCATTCCATTTATTTTGAAACGATTTGCATTGACGTTTTCTTCGTTAGTGACTTATACAGATCTCAAAATTCTCATATCAGTCTATTCCGCTAACATTGCAGATGTTGTCATAATATTTATATTTTAGATAAATGAAGGCTTCGTAATAAAATATCTGATAATATTGAAGAAATTGTCATGTATCTTTTGACGAAAAAGTATTCATATTCTTTGATATAACAAGAATTATCTGAAATGATTTTAAATGTATGATTAGTCGTATTGCTAATAGGGTTGGAAAACAGCGCTAATTGTGTGTATTAAATAACCCAAAACCAACATTTTATCATCAGCATCAAAGAGCAACACTTGTAACATCGCCCTACGTGGATCGTTTCTTTTCAATAACAGCTGGACATAAACGATGCACTGGTATCTTTTTTGCGACATTTTGCATGAATAATATCACGAATAACACAAAAAGTCGTACCAACACTAATATGACATCTTGCAATCATTCACGAAACAGTTTGAGAATTTTCTTTATTTATATATGATATAATATGACGAACAATCGCAGCTATTGCTCTATGATATCGATGATAAAATGTTGGTTTTGGGTTATTTAATACACACAATTGGTG